CGTGTGTCAGGGCGGGTCCCAGTTGGTTCCCACCTGGGCATGCAGTTGACAGCACAGGCCCTGCTCTGCCCAACGCGCCTCCAGGGCAGGTACAAGCTCAGCCTGGGCCTGGAGACAGCAAATGGGAGCGTGTCCAGGAGCTGAGGGACTGGCCACTGAGAGGCAGGGAGGCTGGCGTCTGCCCGCCCCGCCCTGGGACCAGGGAAACACCGAAGCCCCAGGTGTCAGAGCAGCCAGGACCTGCAGCAGCCCGGGTTGGGAGTCTGGAGCAGTGAGTGCCCCTGGGGCCCTTGGTTGCTGTGCCCTGCCCACATGTGGGGTGTGATCAGCAGTCTCACTGAGAATGCACTAGGGCAGAGTCCTGGGAGAGGAGTTGAACCCTCGGCAGCAGGGAGGGGATGCTGGAGAGGAAAAGCGGAACTTCCCCCAGCCCACGCTGTTCTGCACCCTATGATAAACACCACATGTGCCCTAGGAAGCCACACGTGTGTCGCCGGCTCCCAACACGAGGATGGGACCTCAGATGCTGGCGCGGGTTCCCAGAAAGGCTCAGAGCTGAGGATCTCCGGGGAATTCCCACAGAGCCTGGGGGGCACGGCCTCCCTCAGATGGCGCCTGCACGTGGACACCTGACCTTCGTCGAGATGATGCTGCACACCTGAGCTTTCCCATTTTCCAGATTTCCCTGTAAGCGATTTGACTTCACAGCATGACCTTTTTATACATTTATATCTGGTATTTGTTCAGCCCTTAGAAGTGTCCTGAGGCCAGATGCAGTGGCTCATGCCTGCAGTCCCAGCCCTGTAGGAGGCCTAGGTGGACGGATCGCCGGAGCTCTGGAATTTGAGACCAGCCTGGCCAACATGCTGAAACCCCGTCTCTACTAAACATTAAAAATTAGCCAGACATGGTGGTGGGTGCCTGTAGTCCCAGCTACTCAGGACGCTGAACCCAGGTTGCAGTGAGCCGAGATCACACCACTGCACTCCAGCCTGGGCAACAGAGCAAGACTGCCTCAAAAAGAAAAGTGTTCTGTAATAAAACTGAAACGATACAGCTCTGGGCATCCCCGATAATTGTTCTGCTTTGGGAAAGGTTCCTGCACTGCTGAGGTTTAGGGGCACTGGAAAGCAGAAGCCAAGCCTCCTCCCGGGAGGGAAGCCAGAGCTGAGCACCCGAGGGAGATTAAAGAAAAAGGAGGCGGTGAGATCCTGACAAAGCCGCCGTCTCAGGCAGCGGGCGCAGCTCAGAACAGGCTGTGCCAGGGGCTGGAACAGGAGCCTCGCCGCCTGCCAGGTAGCGCAGAATCGTCCACTCCCTGATGCCGGGGCCATCCGCTCTCATGGGAGAGAAACGTGAGGCCCCTGGCTCGCTCCACACACAACCTAAGCGCCAGATGGATGAGAGGCCTACGCATGAGGAGATGCCGGGAACGTGAGACTCGAACGTGGCAGGGTATCCTTCTGCCCACGAATCCAGAAGCTCACTCAGTCCGGGGAGAACGGTTCCAAGTTGATAAACTCGGGTTTTAGAACGTCGGGAGCACAGAGAGGCAAGCGGCTACTGACAGGAGAAAGTAGCTGGGTGCATGCCAAGGGCTCGGGACGCAAAACTGCGAGAAATCTAACAGATGAGGCGTTCCCGCAAACAACGCACAGGCCGGGCACGGCGGCTCACGCCTGTCATCCCAGGACGTTGGGAGGCTGAGGCAGGTGCATCACCTGAGGTCAGGAGCTCAAGACCAGCCTGGCCAACGTGGTGAAACCCGGTCTTTACTAAAAATAAAAATAAAAAATAGCTGGGCATGGTGGCAAACTCCTACGGTCCCAGCTACTCGGGAGGTTGTGGCAACAGAATCGCTTGAACCTGGGAGGCAGAGGTTGCAGTGAGCCAAGATCACATCACTGCAATCCTGCCTGGGCAGCAGAGCAAGACTCCGTCTTAAAAAAAGAAAATAAAAACACCCTGGGCATGATGGCTTATGCTGAGGTGGGCGGATCATGGGGTCAGGAGATTGAGACCATCCTGGTCAGCGTGGTTAAACCCCATCTCTACTAAAAATACAAAAAAAAATTAGAGCATGGTGGTGCATGCCTGTAATCCCAGCTACTCAGGAGGCTGAGGCAGGAGAATTGCGTGAACCCAGGAGGCGGAGGTTGCGGTGAGCGGAGATCACGCCATTGCGCTCCAGCCTGGGTAACATGAGTGAAACTCCATCTCAAAAAAAAAAATAAAATAAAATAAAAACACCCCGGGCATGATGGCTCATGCCGAGGTGGGCGGATCATGGGGTCAGGAGATTGAGACCATCCTGGTCAGCGCGGTTAAACCCCGTCTCTACTAAAAATACAAAAAAATTAGGGCATGGTGGTGGGCGCCTGTAGTCCCAGCTACTTGGGAGGTTGAGGGAGGGGAATGGCTTGAACCTGGGAGGTGGAGGTTGCAGTGAGCTAAGATTGCGCCACTGCACTCCAGCCTGGGCAACAGAGCAAGACTCCATCTCAAAATAATAATAATAAAAATAAAATAACACGACAAAGGAAGGGAACCTGAACAGATGACGTCACGGACGGACCCTGAGTGAAACAGGCCCAGGCCAGTCAGAAGGATGATGTTGCATCATCCCATCTGTAGGCAATGCTAGATTTGGGAGAGCCGTCCAGGCAGAGAGTAGTTGGTGGGTGCCAGGGGCTAGGCGGGGAGTCTGTGTAAGGGGGACAGAGTGTCTGTCTGGAGTGATGAGGCGTTCTGGGGGTGGACGGTGGCAATGGACACACACATGAAGCTGCTGAACTATGCACTTCTCAGTGGTTGAGACAGTGAATTTTATGTGTATACAATAAACCCCAAAACAGACATGCACGCCATACCGCAGATCCAGAGGAGGTTGGTTGGTTGGCTGGTTGGTTTGAGACGGAGTTTCACTCTTGTTGCCCAGGCCGGAGGACAGCGGTGCGACCTCGGCTCACTGCAACCTCCGCCTCCCAGGTTCAAACAATTCTCCTGCCTCAGCCTCCCGGGTAGCTGGGGTGACCGGCGCACACCACCACGCCGGGCTAATTTTGTATTTTTAGTAGGGTCGGGGTTTCTCCATGTTGGTCAGTCTGGTCTTGAACTCCCGACCTCAGGCGATCCGCCCGTCCTGGCCTCCAAAGTGCTGGGATGACAGGTGTGAGCCACCGCGCCCGGCCAGAATAGGTTTCACAAAGATTTTCCTGGTGTTTTTGTTGTTGTTGTGTTAGACGGTCTTGCTGCGTTGCCCAGGCTGGTGGGCAGTAACACGGTCGTAGCGCACCACACTCCCAGCCTCCCCAGCTCAGGCAGTCCTCCCGCCTCCGCCTCCTGAATAGCTGGGACCACGGGCACACACCACCACGCCCCATGCCTGGCTCCTTTTTATATTTTTATTGAAGAGATGGGGGTCTCACTGTGTTGGCCAGGCTGGTCTCAAACTCCTGAGCTCCAGCCGTCTGCCCACCTCGGCCTCCCAAAGTGCTGGGATGACAAGTGTGAGCCACCACGCCCGGCCTACAAGGATTCTCATTCTGGCTTTGTCTAAAGGTGAAAAAGTTTTGGGAAATCTACGCATCCTTTAATAGAGAGTCACTAAGTGAAGTGAGGCGGCATCACGGGTGGAGCATGACAGCAGCACAGCGCCAAGCCGTGTGGGTAAAGACGGCGGACCCATCTTCCGTCCTCTCAGCCCCTCCCAAGTCCCTGGTGTATCACAAAGGGCTGCTTGTTGGTTTTAAAGCACAAGCCACAGAATGGAGAGAATGGGTGGCCGGAGGGCCGCCGAGGTGGTGAGGGCCCTGCTGGGGCAGGCGGAGGCGGCGAGGGCCCTGCTGGGGCAGGCGGAGGCGGCGAGGGCCCTGCTGGGGCAGGCGGAGGCGGCGAGGGCCCTGCTGGGGCAGGCGGAGGCGGCGAGGGCCCTGCTGGGGCAGGCGGAGGCGGCGAGGGCCCTGCTGGGGCAGGCCGAGGTGGTGAGGGCCCTGCTGGCCTATCTCCACGGTAGCCCTGGCACCCACGGGCAGGTGAGCTGGGAGCTGGAGGCGTGAGCAGCATCTGCACAGAGCCATCTCCTCTGTGCACCGGGCTCGGGGCGTGGGGCTCAAGGGACAGGAGGCCTCTTCGACGTGCAGGAGGCAGAGGCACAGGTGGCTGTCGCAGGGCAGCCGGGGTGAGCGCGGCAGGGTCGGTTTTGGCTGTTTCTACCCCGTGTGCCATCATATCTGTCTGGGCCTTGGTGTGGGTACAGGGACTAATGCTCTGGGGAGGGCATGTGCCAGGAGGGCAGGAGGGAGACACGGCTGGGCTGTCCCCCCACACCATCTGAAGAAGGCTTGGGGGGGAGGGGGCCAGCGGGCTCTTGTCTGCCAGCCTCAGCCACCTGTGGGGTGACAGAGCTGACAGGGGCACTTCCAGGGACCAGGGCCCAGAGGTGACGGGAGCACTTCCAGGGACCAGGGTGCAGAGCTCCTGGGGGCACTCACAGGGCAGCAGCAGCCTTGTGTCCTGTTGGCCCACATACTGCAGCCTCACCCATGGCCAAGCTGCCAGTTAGACACCTGGTCAGAGTGAGCTGGGGGGCCATGAGCGAGAGGTGTTGAGGGGAGCCTCCTCCGATCTCAGGATGTGGGGCTCGTTGCAGGGGGGTTGAGGAAGGGCCTCCCCTGGCTGGAGAGCTCAGCCTGAGAGCGGGGCTTGCCCTTCCTCACCCCATGTCCTCACTGGTCCTTGGTCCTAGAGGCCCTGGGTGTCCACCTTGGATCAGGACCCACAGGAAGGCCAGGGAGGAGGAGGGGGCAGGGCCTGGGTGGGGCTTCAGTCCAAGCCTCCCGGGATAAGGGCATAGGAGTGGCAGGGGGGCCAGCCAGAGGGACCTGGATGCAGCACCCCTCCCCTGGAAAGCCCGGGGGTGGATGTCACCCCCCAATTCCCCAGTGGGAAGGCCCTGCGTCTCCCCGCCACATGCAGGTCAGGATGCAAGCCCAGCCTTTAGACAACAGAGTTTATTTCAGACTCAGCCTCCACTCAGGCCCAGGAGCCAGTGAGAGCAGGCCCCGTGCCCACAGTGCCCACCACCAGCTCCGGGAGCTCGCCTGCTGCTGTGTGCTCAGGGGCCGCACGCGCTGAGGGGGCTGTGCAAAGGGCCTGTCAGGCTCCGGGGCCGAGGACAGTGTGACGGTCGCCACCAAGCAGTTCTACTCTACCTGTTATTGCATTTATACGCTGGATAGACGCAGAGGGTGCCGGGTGCAGGCTGGAGGGGCAGTCTAGCGGGGCGGGGTGGGCACAGCTTCCAGGGGCCCTCAACATCCCTGCCTCCCCGACAGCCTCAGGGCTCCCCTGGAGCACAAGCTGGGGAAGGCGACCCTTGGGAAGCCCCCAACACAACCAGGCTTCAGGCTCCGTCTTTCCACCCAGCCAGGGTCGGGTGGTATGGGGAGGGATCACCCCAGGTCGGTCCCACTGCCTCGGCCCAGGCAGAACCCATCCCGGCACCCCAACCTGCACTCAGAGACCAGCCCTGGGGGCCCGGATCACCCTGCCCAGGGGGCCACACACAGGATCCATTCCTTTCTCATGGCTCCCCAGCTGTGCCCCCTCCAGGCATCCGTGCTGTGGACCCGGGAGCTTGGGCTCCTTCTGCCCTGGAGGCTGGGGAAGTCCTGGATCAGCAGGGCAGGCTCCGGTCTCCTCTCCACTGTGTGCGTATGTTGGGGCATATATGGGTGTGTAATGAATGTGCGTGTGTACACGTAAATAAGGGTGAACTCTGCATGCACTGGCTTCCTCAGGTCTGTACAGGAAGTGGCTCCGTGCCCACCTGGCCCCCAGGTATTATTTTTTCCGGGCCAGGAAGGCCACACCAAGAATCACGGCTATGGCTGCCACGGCCACACCCCCAGCTACCAGCAGGGGGTTCAAGTTCTCGCAGGACCAGGGACCTGGGCACCCAGGCCCCCCACTGGCAGCCTCCCCCTCCTCTGCCCCGTCCCCAGGACCCTTGGGCTCCGAGGTTGCGTCAGGACTGCTAGGGCCCGTGGGGGCCGTGGGGGCCGGCTTCAGGTTGCTGTGGTTGTTGAGGAGGGCGGGGTCTGCCTTGGCCGGCGTCTTCTTGGCAGGCGCCGTGGTGGGGGCTGCCGGTGGCTGCTGCTTCTCGGCCGGGGCCTCCTTCTTCGAGGGCTTGGTCGAAGGGGCTTTCCCATCGGCTGCCGGGGGTACCTTGGCCTCAGTGGTGGCCTGGGGTGCCTTGGTGTCGGGCTTGGGGCTGCTGGCCGACTTCCCTCTGGACTCCATGGTGGGCGAGGCGTATGGGCCAGGCAGGTGGCTGCACTGGGGGCTCAGAACAGCTCGCCGCCCCTGGGCATTCTATGGGCCTGGAGGGAGATACAGAGGGGCTGTGTGTGGGTCCAGTACTCCCGCCCCACACTGCCCCGAACATCTGGCCCCCAGGAAGCCCCTGCCCAGTTCTCTGGTCTCCCTGGAGCCCCAGCTCAGGGACGTCCCGAGGGCCTCAGGCACTTCTCTTCCAAGGCCTGGCCTCCGTCTGTCCATGACCACTCCCCAAGGAGCCCCTCCAGCCGCACAGGGTGGGAGGAGCTAGGGGCCTCCGTGTGCTCCTCTGTGAAACCCATGCAAATGCGGCAGGAGGCTCTGCGGGGAAGTGAGGCTGGCCCTGAGAACTGGAGGGAAGAGCATTCTCCCTTCCAAGGAGGGGAGGTGATGGGAGCCCAGTGAGAGAGCTGACAGCAACCCCTTCTTAGCAGAGCATTCCAGCTTTGCAGAGACGGACACTGAAGCCCCGAGGCTGCAACCTGGCCAGGGTCCTGGTGGAGGAGGGCAGGGAGGGGCAGGACCTGGGATCTCAGGTGGCCATCAGGGTGGGTGGCCCACGAGAACCCAGACTTGAGAAAACCGAGGTGCCTCTCCAGGCCGGCAGAGCGGGGCTGTGCCTCCTTGGGCCATCTGCCCCTCCCCAGCCTCTGGGGCCCCTTCCCCAACAGGGGACGGTGCCTCCCTCCAGCCCCAGGGCCAGAGTCCTTGCCAAGCCCAAGGCTGTGCTGTCTCTGTGGGCAGACAGTCCCTGGCATGAAACAGGGTGGGCACAGGCTGCATCTGGCCCGAGGGTCAGGGTGGAGGACGGGGTTCTGGGCGGTGGGGAAGGCGGTGACCAGATTCTCCACCACCCAGGCAGAGCTGGGGAGAGCCCTGGGGCCCGGCTGCCCTGAGCCTGAGTGGGTCTTGCCCCAGAGCCTTAGAGGCCACCTGTCTGCCGCTCCCAGGGAAGGATGAGAAATCCCCTTGACCTGCAGGGAAAGGCACCCAGGGAAGCGCGTTCCCCGCCCCCCACCAGGTGCACTGACCACACTGAAGGTCACCCGAAGGTCACAGCGTGATGAGGGCGTCTCCGGGAGAGGCCCAGCTGCTGCCGACTTTCCAGGGAAGCCCAGCCACCCCTTCGCCCTGGCAGCTCTGGGGGGCCCGGCTGCTGGGCATCACGTTCGCAAAGGGCAGGCGGCCTGCGCCCCAACCTCGCCATTTGTGGCTCTCAGCCCCGGCCGCCGCCTCCCTTTCCCGGTGGGAGCCGCGCCCCGGAGAGCAGGCCGCACCCCCCCGCGCAACCCCGTTGACCTCCGAGGCTCGGAGCCACCTCCTCGCGCCGCGGGACCCCCGCCTTACGCGTCCTCCGGCCTCCCCGGGCTGCGCGCTCCTCGGCGGGGCGACGGCGGCTGCAGACGCGGAGGACAGCCCGGGAGTTTCCCACAATGCACCGCTCCGGGCGCTGGAGGGCGGGGCGGGGCGGGGCGGGGCGGGGCGACGGAGGCCACGCCCCTCGGGAACGAAGGGGGGCCGCAACCCCGCTCCGCCCCAGACCCGGGGTGGGGGCCAAGCCTAGGCCAGGGAGCGCGGCCGCGGGGTTCAAGTCCCGTCCCTGACGGCCAGAGGCAGGGAGCGGGGGCGGGGCGGCACCCAGCATCCCCTCCAGGCCAGGGTGCCCCTTGGTCGGTGGGTGGGTGGGTGCGTGGGCCTGGCCCTGCAGTCTGAGGGAAGCCAGTTATGGGAAGAGGGGCTGCCCTCCCCCACCCCCAGACCCCCAGACCAGACCGACGGCAGCATCTACTTAGAATATTTATTTATCCTCTGACAAGACAAGACACAAAAAGTTACAGCTTCTTAAAACTCTTCAAAAGAAAAAAATATAATTCTGTAAGCAGCAGCAGCGGCTTCCAAGGTTCAGAGGTGACGGGAGGGGCAGCTCCCAGGAACAACCGTGAACTGGGGGGCCTGGGCCTGGGCCCCAAGTAGTGTCGCTGGGAAGGGGCCTCCGAGGAGGGCCCCGGTTTGGGGGACACAGCACCAGCACGATCACATGGCCGGGGTGGGGCAGGGAGAGCTTCAGCTCACAATAAGGATGGGCCGGGTGGGAGGACGGGGCTTCTGGAGTGTCGTCAAGGGCCTTCCTTATACAGAAGCCCAGAGAGAAAGGTGGGCCCGGAGGGGACTTGGGGGCGGCCCTCCCTCCTGAGCAGGACAGCCCCCCTCAGGCTCCACACTGCTCCCCATGCCTGCCCTGCTACCTGGCCAATCCCAGGCCAGGGTGGAGGACTCAGAAGAGAGGCCAGGCTGGGTAAGTTCGTTTCTGGACGGGGTCAACAGAGCCTGGGGCACACACAGCACACAGAATGTCTGGGCAGGAAGGAGGGCAGCCCCTGGCAGCCCCATACCCAAGGGCCAGGCCAGCTCCCCACCACACGCACGCACACGCACGCACGCACACACACACACGCACACACACAGACCTCACAGTCTGGGCCCCAGCCTGGGGTGGGAGCCAAGGAGCTCACCAGAAAGTCCCATAGTGGGTAGAGAGCTTGCCCTGAGAGTCACACCCCAGGGCAACCCTCGTTTGGGATTCCTAGCTCAACATGGAGGGTCTTGGACCCCAGTCCTCTTGCAAGTCGGGCCAGGGAGGCAGAGTCAGGCCCTGCCAAGGCGACAGGAGTAGCTGGGGAAGGACGGAAGGGCTGGAGAGTCCCTTGGTCCCAGCAGGTTCAATAAATAGGTTTGTGCAGGGTCCCTGTGTGGACCAGGACGGCTGTGGAGACTGGAGCCGGTATGGTCCAGCCTGTCCAGCCCAGGCCTGGAGCCCCCAGCCCAGAGACCAGCTCTGTCCCTGGGGGTGTTCAGGCCAGGGCAGGATTGGGGCAGGGGCTAGATTGAGGAATGTAAAGATTTCTGCATTTTCTACATAAATAAGACATTGATCCCAATGGTGTGGGCAGCACCCACATGGACCCTGCACCCCACCCCCTGCTGCCCCTGCCGACGGGGAGGGCTGGGGAGAGGTCTTCCCTTGCTCTGGCCTGCACTGGCTGCCTGGCTCCGGCCCCACACTGGCCCTGCCCGGCTGGCTGGGGTGGAGCAGGCGCTGGCTCAGGCCTGGGGGGCCTGCAGCAGCCCCAGCAGGGACTCTGCGATGCCCAGGAAGTAGACCACCTGTGCGATGCCAAAGAGGGGTGCGATGACCAGCGCACGGCAGTAGGCGCCCTTCAGGAAGGCCGAGGGGCCCTCATGCCGCAGGATCTTCCTGTGGAGGAAGGAGGGGCAGGTCAGCCCATGATGCAGACCCCCAGGCCCCCAGGTCCACCCGCCTCGGGGAAGGAGGGGAGGGTCAGCCCTAAGCACAAGCAACACCCCCCTGGGGAAGGAGGGGCTGCACAGCCCAGTATGCAGGCCCCCAGGTCCACCCACCTGCCTCAGGGAAGGAGGGGAGGGTCAGCCCGTAAGCAGGCCCCCAGGCCCCACCTGCCCAGTGAGGGGTGGGCCAGCCCTGTGCACAGGCCACACCCTCTGAGGCGAAGGAGGGGAGAGTCAGCAGGTGCCCAGGCCCAACCTGGTAGGGGGCGGGGAGGGGAAGGAAAGGAAGGTCAGCTCAGTCTGCAGGCCCCCAGGCCCCACCCGCTGGCTGTGGCGAAGGAGAGGAGGGTCGGCCTGGTGTACAGGTCTGCAGGCCCCCGGGCCCCCCATCGTGGGACCTCCCCACCTGGCACAGTCCAGGAACCCGGTGTAGGTGTCCTCGTTGACCCCCCGCTGAAGCGACTGGAGCCGCGTCTTCACCACTGCAAGGGGTGCTCAGGTCACTGTGTGTCTGGTCAAGGGCCTGCCCCCACCCCATCCCCAGCCAGGCATTGTCCCATGCGCTGACCGTCACAGGGGTTGACGGCCACAGCAGCTGCACTCCCGGCCACACAGCCGGCCAAGAAGGACACATAGAAGGGCGACTTCTCCTCAGACGCCGGGCGGCCCAGCTGGTTCAGGTTGGCAAAGAGCGGAAAGTAGACCATGGAGAAGGGGACGTCCCTGTGAGGAGGGCAGAGGCGGTGTGGACAGCAGGTGGCGGGGTGGGCAGGCCAGCCCTCCCTCCACCCCCCGCCCACACCCACCCTGTGCCTCCTACCTGAGCAGCGTGGCCCCGAGTCCCTTGTAGAGACCAGCAATGCCGCGGCTCCGAAGCAGGTCTCTGGTCAGCTGGGTGGCCGTGGGCCGACGGGCAGCTGGAGCCTCCACTGAGGGCTGGGCACCCCCCTGGGCCGAGAGCTGGCCCCGGGCAGCCAGAATCTTCCTCTGGGCAGCTGGAGAGAAAGGAGCTGCTGTCTCTTCTGCGCAAAGTGGGCAGGGGACACACTCTGGCCCTCTGCGCCCTGCGCTCCCCTCCCTCCCCCTCCCCCTCCCCTCCCCCCTCACCGATGCGCCCTGCATCCTGCAGCTGGATCTTCAGCATCTCCATGGGCGTGGTCACGATCACCTGGCAGGTGCCAGCCCCGCAACCCGCCAGCATCTCTTTAAGCAGGGTCAGCTTCTGCCTGTGGTAGGGACGGGGCCTCGGTGAGTTGCAAAAGACAAGTCTACCTGCCACCCTCCGGGCTGCCCACTGTGCCTGGCTGCAGAGGATGCTGGGAGCCGTGGAGGCAGGCGCAGGCCTGTGGGGGTACAGCCTCCCTTCCTCCCACCTCCAGCCCTGCAGCAGCGGGCAGGGAGGAGTCTGACGGACAGACGGGCCCACAGGCAGGGGCCTGGGAAAGGCAGTGGGGCTGTCTCCAATGAAGTAAAATGGTAAATTGGGGGTTGAGTGCCCCAAAAAGGGGCTGCCCTTGCAGCCCCCTCCAGGGATGGGGGAGCCGGTCAGTGCCCTCAAGCCCTCACTCACATGGGTAGCAGGCAGTGGTTGGGGGCCAAGGACGGCCAGGCCAGAGCCCCACTAATTTGGCACCTACTCTGCTCCCCTCGTCAGGGAAAAGGAGGGAGCCTGCCCCACAAGGTCAAATAAGTCCCAAGCAAGGGGGGGAAGAAAGGCAGAGCCCCCAGGTGGGACCCAGCTGGCCAGGGGGACCCATCCTTTGTCTGAAGCCAAGGACCCCAGGCAGGCCCCTCACCCGTCCTTAGAGAGCTGATGTCGGAAGAAGTCGTTGGCTGCCAGCTTGATGGCCTTCTCGGGGGTGACAAGGGTCAAGTTCACAGCGGCTCCTGTGGAGCAGGGGGTCAGCTGGGGGACACACTCAGTGGCCTGGGTGGGGAGGCGCTCCACCAGGACTTTGCCTCCTGGCTGGCAAAGCCCCGTCCCCATCACTCCTGGCCACCATCTCCTGCCCTCTCACCCATATTTGGGCCTGGTGTGTGCCAGGCAGGGCGGGGCCAGGCAGGGCCAGGCAGCACCTCTGGCTCAGGCTCTCCCAGGCCCGCTGCAGCTCCATCTATCTCTGATTCTGGGAAGCATCTTGCTGCTAAGGGCATGGGGGGTACCCCTGAGGGGTTCTCCCTCCCTGGGGGCACAGAGGGTGCTTGTGCCGGCGGGGAGCTGGGGCCAGAGGTCACATGAGCGTGTGGTCTGGAGGGGCCAGAGCTCGGGGGAGGCAGTGGAGAGCCCCATCTCAGTGTCCCGAACTCAGGGCTGCAGAGCTGCCAAATCCAGGCTTCGGATTGTGTCCTAAGCTGCTTTGCAGTCGTGGCCCCTACTCCCTCCCATTCCCAGCCAGAAGGGTCCAGCCTGTCCCAGAAGGCAGAGGCGGCTGCCAACCCCACCTCAGAGGAGGAAGATGTGCCGTGGTATCCCACGCACCAGGCACTAAGCGGGGGTGGGGAGCTGCCACGGCTCACCAGGGATCCAGTCCCCCCACAGACACGTTCACGCTCACACGCCCAGCCCGAGCTGGCCGCCGTGCCCTGCCTCCCCCGCCGAGACTCCCGGGCGCTACCCAGGCCTGCCCGTCCCGAGCCGGGCGGAGCCGAGCCTCACCGCGGTACATGCCGAAGTAGCCCTCGGAGCGGATGGTCTTGATGAGGCAGTCGGACCTGTGGCCAAGGGGACGGGGTGAGCCAGGATGAGCCGGGGTGAGCCAGGGCGAGCCGGGGCCCGGGGCCCTGCACTGTCTAGGCTGACAGAAGGGGCCAAGTCTTCATCCCAGCCCCATCCCGGTCCTGACCCACATGGGATTTCCCCCAGGCCCGCCTGCCTGTCGAGCAGGGTGGGGGCACAGCAGCAGAGCCCTGCCTCTCACGCTGCCCTGCGCTGGCCCCATGCCCGGCGCCTGCCCGCACACTCACATGCTCGTGTACATGCGCTGGCCATTCTGCTGGTTCTGCAGCCTGGTCTTGGCCAGGTCGATGGGGAACACACAGGTGACCCCGATCAGCCCGGCGATGCCGCCATTGATGAGCTTGGCTGGCAGGCTGTGTGGATACGGGGTGTCAGGACCAGCCTCCTCCACCAGGGATGGGGTGGGGGCGGGGCGTGTAGCCAGGACTGGAATCTGACCTGATCTGCTTATCAGCCATTTAACTCAATCGCACCCAGGTGGGAGCTGAAGAGGTGGATGCCAGGCAGGGGCGGGGCGGAGTCCAAGGCAAGAAGGCCTGGAGAGGGTGGGACCAAGGGAGCTGGGGGAAGGTGGCAGTGCTCCACCTTCAGGGTAATTTCCAGGCGTCAGCCCCCCCTTTTTGTCCTGGAGGAAGAGGAGGTGGGAATGAGTGAGGGTGGGGCCACCCGAAGATAACCCTCCCCCAGCCTCCCTCTCACGCACGGCCCCTCGCCCACGACTGAAGGCTGAGCATACAGCGATGGGAGGCACCTGCTGCCCAGTCCCATGCCCACCCCTGGGACAGCCTGGCTTCCCTGCAATTCCCCCCCCACCAACCACCGGCGTCCTCCCAGCCAGCCTCTCACGCACGCTCACGCTTGGGCTCACGTGCACCCCGGGCCAGCTCCGGCTTTTAAAGGGCCAGGCGCCTCTGGGGGCAGTGCCAGGGGCCAGCGTGCCCACCAGAGCACCTCAATCTGGACAGCTGTGGTGACTGTCCCCCACATCCTTCAGCACAGACAGACCCAGCTGGCACCTGTCCCTTTCCCGCTAGGGGCTGGGGTCCTGGGCGCCCTAAAGCGCCCCCCACACCTGGGCTCAGCCACTCCCACAGCAGCTCAACCCTGCGCCTGCAGAGCTCCTCCCCAAGGAGAGGCCCACAGCCCCCACACCCAGCCCCTTGCCTACCTTCCTCCCCTCCACATCGCCAAGGAGTTTCACTCACAGACACACAGAAGCCAGCGATGGGACCCCTGGAAGCCTTGCGGGGGAATGGCTCTGAGGTTGGCATCTCCACCCACTACAGGGGAGGGGAGACCAGGCCTCTCCCACTAAGGGGCAGGGCCGGGGAGCCACAGCCAGACTCAGGGGCCTCCCATGCGGTCATGGCCATAACGTCTGAGCCTCAGGGGCCTTTCCCCCTCCCGAGGCCCCCCAGAGGCCAGCTGTTTTGGGCACCGGCAGCGCCATGGCCCAGGGCCACGAGGCTGGCTCACACCCGCGGTTCACCAGGGACTCGTGACCTTCACCTCGGCTTTCCAGGGCTGGCCCATCTGCCACCTACCGCTGACACGCCACCTGCCCCAGGCACTCACTCCGGACGGCTCCTCCACACTCCAGCCGGCACTCAGGCACTCACACCGGAGGGGAAGCTGCGGGGGTGGATTCGAGGGGCCGCAGGGATTGGCCATGGGGCGGGGTGGGGCGGGCCTGGGGGGGGGCTACTTTCTCTTTCACTTTGGGTGAGCAGAGGCTTCCTGTAGCCTTGAGAGGAGTGATGAGCTGGGGCAGGTCTGGCTCAGGCTGACCTGGCACGGCCACGCCACCCACTGACAGGGACCTCAGCCGTGGCCACCACACCCCCAGCATGCTTGGGTTCCTGTCGGCTGCCTGGAGGTTGAGCCCTAGGGCATTTCCTGGCCTGGATCTGTCTAGGGCTGGCACCCTGAGGATGAGGCTTTCTCAGGTACAGGGTACCCTCCATGTACCTGGACCGGGAATTTCAGTGTTGTGGGGCAGAGATGGGCTGACACCCACTCGTGTCTGTGGGATCTGTCTGCTAAAGGCAGATGCATGTCAGGGAGGCCACATGCTGGGGCACAAAAAAAAGGCCTACTGTCTACAGGGAAGGGCTGGGTGAGTCCCAGAGGCCACTGGTGCCACCACGGGCCCTGCTCACTTGGCAGGTCCAGAGGGCATGGGAGCTGGCACGCCCAGGGCACTCTGCCCCGCTGCGTGTCCGGCTCAGGGTTTCACCGCCAGGAGAGCTGCCTCTCCCTGCCTCAGCCTGTAGTGACGAGCTGACCTCTGAACTTGGACCTGACCCCTCCCAGCCCCCCGACACCCCACTCCTGGGGTGCAGACTGGCCACAGCTCTCTCGGCTGCCCTGGACCCTTCATCTCCGCCCTAGTCACGCTGGGGATCCACCCCGGCCCTCCGGGGAGCCTGTCTCCAGCTGGCGGTGAGGGACACCCGCATGAAGGGGGCAGTCCTGGAAGTCAGGCTGACAAACGTGGGGAGGGGCCAATCGTCCCAGGAAGAGGCAGGCCTGGGCCCGCACACCACCCAGTGCCGCGGAGAGGCGTTTCTGGGTGGAGGGGCTCTGCCTGGGGAGGAGCCGGCTGGGGTCCCTCTCAACGCCAACCCCGCTCTCTGTCCTCACCCCGCAGTCCCCACCCCGGGCTTCTGAGACAGCTGGCCGGGGCCCTCCCCCGGCGCTGACGTTGCCATAGAAACCCTGCCCCGGCCGCAGCCAGGCCCAGGGCTGTGCGCCCTCACGGTGCCCCTTCAGTCAGGTACTGAGACCACAGCCAGCCAGGGAGAGAGCAGGCGGGCGGAGACCCCCCACGGGGAGACACCGTTGCTTCCGGATCCGCAGGAGTAAAACCTTCCACCCAAGAAGCCGCCAGGCTCCTCCTACCCCCAAGAAAGGCAATGGGGGTGAGGCTCCGAGCCTGGCACTGGCCGCCGGCTCCCCATTCAATCTCCCGCCGTCCCCGGCCTCTCGGGGCGGCGCTTTCCAGCCTGCTGGCCGGAGGGTCCCGGAAGGGGTGTCCAGCTGCGCGGGGCCCCGGCCAGGGGACAAAGGAGAAGCGTGCCGGGGACGGCTCAGGGCCTGCCTCACCGCCGGGGCTCAGCCGGCCGCGCACGTGTCCGCAGACGTCCGGTGACAGCCCCCGTGTGCCCCACAGAGCCCGGCCTCCTTCCTTGGGCTCGGGCCGCGGGACCCACCCTCGGGGACACGTGTGTGCGGGGCGCGCGCCGGCACGGTCGGGGCCGAGCACGGCCTCTCCCACCAGGGCAGCGGCGGGTCCGGGACCCCCGCCCCAGCCCGCGTGGCCCCGGCAGCTGTCACCTCCCCGGGCTGCCGCGGCCCCGCTCGGACGCGCGTAGCGAAGGGAGCCGCGGGGCGGACACTCACCGGCTCGCCGCCGCCGCCGCCGCGCTCGCCTCCCCGCCGCGCCGCGCGCTCCGCCCCTCGGCCTCCGCCGGGCTTCGGCCCCCCCTGCCGGCCGCCGAGACGACTGCGCCGGCCAGGCCCACGGCCCGCGCCGCCCGCCCCGCCCCCGCCCCTTTCCCTCCCCCGCCCCCGCCCCCTGCCCCGGGGAGGTGGCAGTTCTGCGCGCAGAGGCCAGGCTGCACCACCCCAAGGTCCTTTCTTGGTTTCCAGGCCTCAGGCCCCTGCAGGGACAAGGACCCGCGGGGCGCGGGCAGGTGGCAGAGCGCCGGTGGATAAGGGTGTCCTGGGGGAGGCACGGTCTCCAGGTCAGAACAGGTGCATGGTGGACCTGCTGGGGCCAGCGCAGAGGGCCAGTGGGCAGGTGGAAGCACAAGCCCGCCTGCCGAAAATCGACTTTGTATCCAAAGCAGCCCCCTTGGAGCCAGGTGCCTGCAATCTCAGCACGTGGGGAGGCCAAGGCAGGCAGATCACTTGAGGTCAGAAGTTCGAGACCGGCCTGGCCAATATAGTGAACCCCCATCTCTACTAAAAACACAAAAATTCGCCAGGTGTGCTGGCAAGTGCCCCTAGCCCCAGCTACTGGGGAGGCTGAAGCAGGAGAATCGCTTGAACCTGGGAGGCAGACGTTGCAGTGAGCCGAGATCAGGCAACTGCACTCCAGCCTGAGTGACAAACTCCTTTTCAAAATAAAAACGAAGTAGCCCATTTGGGCTACCGTGCAGCACAGGTCCTCCCTCCCGGGAAGATCAGGACCCACCGGAGACCCCAGGCACAGTGGGAGGGGACAGGACCAGGCTGTGGGGCATGTGTTCAGGCAGGGCTCCCTCCCAGCAGGGCGGGGCCTCTGATGACCCCGCCACCCCCCTCCCCGCCCTGCAGTGCTTTCTCCGTCCAACAAATCAATCAAGCTCTGAAATAGCAAATCAAACAGTGCAGGTTTGATGCCCATGGGGAACCCTGTCCCCACACACTGGAGAGGCCGGAAGGTGGGAGCTCTGCCCATCCGCTGGGAAAAGTCCAGGCCAGCCGGAAGTCTGTGCCCTAGGCCTGGGCAGGCTCTGAGGGCTGTGGGGCCGACGAGCCAGGCACCTCGGGGTCCTTGGGGGCCAAGCCTGTGCGCTGGATGCTGTCCTGGTACTTGCGGCGGCCAAGCTCCAAGACTGCCCGGACCTCTTCAGCCACGTCCTTCCGGTCACTCTGCTCCAGGGCCTGCACCAGGAGCACCACAGCCCCCGGCTGCCCAGCCTGGCGCTCAGCCCAGGAGAAGAGCATGTGACGGATCTGCCCGTCCAGATCATCCCTGTGGGCAAAGGATGGGGACACAGGGAGTCCTGCCCACCTGCCCAGTACCCCCACCACGCTCTGCCTCGGGCTTGTCTGGGCCAACCTCGGCCACATGGTTCCTTTCCAGCCTGGTGTTTGCGCCTCCCCCACTTCCCCTGGAAGAAACTTCTGGCATCATCAGGCGGGCCCCCCAGATGGCCAGTGGAAGCCTCACCGGAACTCGTGCCGGATGCGCTGCAGCTCTCGGTAGGACACGCCCAGGTGCAGGGCCACCGCCGGCCAGTCCGGACCCAGGCGCCCAGCCACGCTCAGGAGGTTGCTCTGCGTCAGAAAGCCGGTCTCAGCATCTCCCAGGTTCAGGGGTGCCAAGGAGAGGCCAGCCCCCCGCCGTGGCCCTTCGGGCCCCCGAAGCCTCTGTTGGAAGGAGAAAGAGCAGAAAACCCTGGGCTCCGTCCCAGACTCCACCGCGTGCTTCTGGGCTCCACCCCTGGGCCTCGGTCCTGCCCCCACCCCTCCACTGTCCCTCAGTCCCACCGGCAGCTTGATGGGCAGAGTGGCCATCCACAGGGCGTCTGCGCCCTTCCTCTGCCGGGCAGCCTCCGCCTCCTCGGGCACTTGCACGGGCACTGCACCACGGTAGAAGGACACCTGAGGGGGCATTGAATGGGGTTCAGAGCTCGGCCCTGTGCCCAGGCAGCCTGGGGGGCCCACCCCCTCGCCCACCTGGCCCCGCACAGCCTGAGCCTCCCGATCCAGGGTGGTGGTCACGTACACCTCCTTCACATTCTTCAGGTGTGAATAGAAGACAAAGCAGATTCTGCCCTCCACGCAGTCAGGGCGGTCTAGGGGACGGGGGGGGGGCGGGCTGAGGAGGGGGCGCAGGAAGGACAGTAGGGCTCCCTCTCCAGGACGGGGCGGCCCTACCAGCATCCACGTCAATGCCTCGCTCGAAGGCTGCAAAGAACTCCTCGCCCTCGAACATCTCCACCGTGTCGGAGGGCTCCGGGCCACGGTAGCGCTCCAGCAGCCGCCGAAGGGTGGCGTCCACCTGCAGGGACGCCGTGCAGGTCGGCAGCCAGAGTCCGGCACCCCAGCCCTCTAGCCACCGCCCCGAGCCCCCGAGCCCGCGTCCCCACCTTGTTTCGGGGCAGGCACTGCAGCAGGACCTGCTCGGGGTCCCGGCGCCGCTGCAGGGCGATGAGGTTGACCCGGTGCAGCCGCAGCCGCTCCCAGGCCTTCCGAGCCAGGCCTCCCACGCAGTTCTTGGTGGTGTACCAGAGCCAGTACCTGGGGGGGCAGGGGTGAGGGAGGAGGCTGAGGAAGCCGGGGCACTGACGGTGGGTAACCCCCGATCTGGGCGCCGAGGAAGGAGAGCTAGGCAGATCCCCGGCAGGATTAGTGCCTGAAGAATGTCTTGGTTTACGGTGTTACTCCTCCGTCACCGCCTTTATAATCCTTTACATACCATCACGTATTAATTTATAGTCAGAACAATTAGTGCCTGAAGAACACCTTACTACCCAGTTATTTCTCTACATATATACAATTATATCTTAGTTCATAGAGGCATGTCTAGAGCAGACACGGTGCAGAGCATCAATTAAGCAATAAACAGCTATACATAATCATATCTTGCTTATAGTCAGAGGAACGTCTAGAGCAGACACGGTGCAGAGCATGAGTTAAGGGAAAACAGTTACACCAGAACAAGAACCTGGCCCAGGTGGCAGCGTTCAGTATCGTAAAGATACCCGCTGTATGGCAGGCTTGGAGCAAGAGCCTCTCCTCCTGATAAAGGAGTTGTAGGACCTTGCTCCGGTTCTTGTGGAAGGCTCCCTCAGACCGGCAATCCTGTGAGCATCCGAGGGCTTAAAACCCCTCCGGATAGTCGCGC